GTGTGTGTGTGTGTGTGTGTGTGTGTGTGTGTGTGTGTGTGTGTGCAGGCCTACACGTGCAGAGGCTTACATCCTCTGCAGCAGTGCTGACTGGCAGCAGTAATCTCTGATAGTTGCCATGGACACAGTAATTGCACTGAGAGTGTGTTTTGTGCACGTTCAGATTTGGATTTTCACATCGAGTCTTCCTTTTTTAATAAATTTTATTCCACCCCCCCCCCCCCAAAAAAAAAAAAGCCTTTAACTGTCTGGATGGTATTAAAACCACTCCATTTTTGTCTTGAACGACCATAAAACAGACAAAGGCCTCAAATCATCCTGCAGGATAAAGTAAGAAAGTTTCTTGTAAATGCAAGATTTCTCATTAAATTAACTGAATCAGACGCCTCACAACATGTCTTCTCTTAATACAGGCCAACAAATAAGATGAATAACTTGTCTGATTTTCCCTTATTTTATTTACATTGTTGTCTACTTCCTCCACAACACCAGAGTTAATTTGTCACAACAGAAAAATATAGAAACTACAGGAAAATGTTGTTCCTCAACATTTACATGTGACATTTGAAATAGCAAAAGCAACATAAACAAGTCTTTTTTTGCGCTAAAAGAGCCAAACTTGTTTATTTCTCCCTTTTCTTTCTTCTTTAGGCAACAATAATAATAAAAAAAATAAGTTACCTGTCAAAATTCAGACAAAGTTTGGATGCTAAATAAGTGCAAAAGTCAGCAATATTGGCAAATTATTTAATAACTTTTAGGATTTTTACATTTGCACTTTTTGAACTCATGTTTTATTCATGTTAACACAGAGAGAGAGATGGTTTTTCCCCTCTGCTTCTGTTGAGACTAAACTGCTTTTATTTCAAAATTGTGTCTAATAACTCTATCAAAGTGTTGCATATGTTTTTCACCAAATTTCCCTCTGGGATCAATAAAGTATTTTTGAATTGAATTGAATTGAAATTAATGGATTTAATCATCACATATTTTCCTCAGTGATGCCATGTTTAAAATAACCTATGTGTTGTATGGAATAAAACTTAAAATGAGCAAAAAGGACAACATAAAAATAAAATGTGTCTGCACTAATGAAATAAGTAGTTTTCTCCTGGACTTATTTTCTCCACATCTTTCAGAGGTAATACAGGTGTGTGACACCTTCTCAGTTCTCTCAGTCCAGATGTTTTATAAATGATCCAGTAAAAAAGCCTGGGTTAAAAAGCAACTTTTTATAACATTACAGAACTCATTCGTTGTTTGGGCAAATTACTTAGACAGAGATGATCTGAAATAAACACATAATAACTGATTTGTAAAACTAAAGTTATGCTCAGCTTCTAGATTTTGTAACAAAAGTCATTTTCGTACTTTATTCCATCGACGTTCATGCGTGCAGACAGGTGAACAAACACATTAATCTCTCTGCAGGCCAGAGAAGATCTGCTGGGCTTGCAGGGCCAGAGTCTGAAGAGAGCCGTAGTGACAGATGCTGCAAGTGTGTGTGGGTGGGGTGTGTAGCTGTGTGTACATGTGATATGTTTAACGTGGAGAAAAAAGGACAAAGAGGCCGAGACGAGGTGCAGAGGAGAGTCGAGGAGATTGCAGAGGGTTTTATCCACAATGTGACTCAGATGTGTTTGACGTGAGTCAGACATATAGCCTATTTATGACTTAATAAAATGCTTTTAATTTAGAAAAGAGGAATTTACATTATCACACATGCACTATATCTTCATATTTCCATTAACTACCATTCATTTTTCATTCAGGTCTAACTCTGATCCTTCCAATGGTGGCATGGTTCCACTAATCCGCTAACAGCTAACAGCAGAAGCTTTTTTTTTGTTTGTTTAACAGATTAGTATTTTCACTCACTTTGAAATCTGTTAGTGGACCAATTAGCATTCACTAACTAACTAACTAACTAACTAACTAACTAACTAACTAACTAACTAACTAACTAACTAACTAACTAACTAACTAACTAACTAACTAACTA